AAAACTGAAAGTGTTCCTACAGCCCGGCCCACAGCTCTGGGGGGAGGAGTTTGCAGAATTCTCAGCCGGGGCTGCCCCAAGGTTCCTGTGGCTGGACACTCCCGGGCCACCCCTCTGCAGCCGGCCAGCCCAGCCTGCCCCTGCTGCCTCCCCCACCTGCACCCTCACCCCTGCTTCTGCCACTGGCCGTGTCTACAACCCCCAGGGGTGGGAGCCAGAGGCCAGGCCTCCCTCGGCAGCAGCCCCGCCCCTGTCCCAGGCCAGCTTCACTGCATCCGGGCCTGTCCATCCCCTTCCACTACCGCGGACCTTCCTGCTCTCCTGCTCCTGTCGCTGGCCCTCCCTCTGCAGGAGAGATGGCTTGTTGTGTTGAACTTGAAGGCTGCTCCCTGAGAGCAGCCCTGGACTTCCTGCACCCGCCTCTGGTCCTGGTTGGTGACGACTTTGAAAACAGGGCCCGGGAGGAATGGGGGACGCAGGTGGTGAGCACCAAGACGCAGCTTGGTGACTTAGGGCAGCAGCCTGCCTCTCTGAGCGGCGCCTTACTTGTAAATAGTTATGGCGAACACCCCCGGAACTCCAACAAGGCGCCAGCAGGCGAGGGAGGTTCTATCTTCATCACCTCCGTCTTCAGATTAAGAAACCGAAGCATGGCCCTAGCCGGGTCGCCAGTTGGTTAGGGTGTCGTCCCCATACACCAAGGTTGTGGGCTTGATCCCTGGTCAGGGCACATACAAGAAGCAACCAGTGAATGCATAACTAAGTGGAACAACAATTCAAACCCTTTCTCCTCTCTTTCTCTCAAAAAAAAAAAATCAATAAAAGAAAAGAGAAAAGAAACGAAAGCACTGAGGGGTGATGTAACTTACACACTGCACAGCAAAAGGACGGCAGCAGAATCACGCTTGAACCCAGGCAAAGCGCCCTAGGCTTGTCGCTCCTAGAATGGCCGTAAGGTCAGAGATCTGAGTTTGAATCCTAACTGGCAGCTTGAGTCACCTTAGCCTTTGGGACTTTCGTTTCCTCATTTTTTGGGCTCAATGGGGGACCTGGAGGACTTTAGGAGACCAGGTGCCCAGAAATTGTGTGCAAAATTGCTTTCACGTGAGTATGTATGTGCCTGTTCCCGAGGAAGAGCGCGTTTTGAGCAGACACTCAAAAGGAGTCTGAGACCCAGACAAGTACAAATGATGGACCCATTGACTCCAGAGAGTCCAAGAAATCAAGTTCTGTTAAAAGCAGCACTTGTCCCCGATTCTACACGCATCATTGCATGTAGTGACTAGAGAACATTTGTCTTGTCTGCTTGTGTTCTCTTCACAGGGAGAAGCAGGCTACAGCCAGCTAGATTACTGAAAATGATAAAACAGTATATCAGGGGATTGAGAAGTTTACAAAGAACTGCAATTCCACTGGAAACATTCGGACATTATATATTATATGTTGAAGTTTTTAGAGGGGGTTTAATGTATTTTTCTGTTTCTCAGAATTTTATTCATAAAAAAACAAGCCCAGAACATTGATTTGTTGTTCCACTTTATTTAGTTTTTTAAAGTTTATCTTTATTGTTGAAAGTATTACAGGTATCCCTTCCCCACCCAGTTCTGTTAAGCAGCACTTGTCCCCGATTCTACACGCATCATTGCATGTAGTGACTAGAGAACATTTGTCCTGTCTGCTTGTGTTCTCTTCACAGGGAGAAGCAGGCTGCAGCCAGCTAGATTACTGAAAATGATAAAACAGTATATCTAATTGCTTAGGGGAGTGAGAAGTTTACAAATAATTGCAATTCCACTGGAAACATTTGGACATTATATATTATATGTTGAAGTTTTTAGAGGGGGATTAATGTATTTTTCTGTTTCTCAGAATTTTATTCATAAAAAAACAAGCCCAGAACATTGATTTGTTGTTCCACTTTATTTAGTTTTTTAAAGTTTATCTTTATTGTTGAAAGTATTACAGGTATCCCTTCCCCACCCCCATTGACCCCTTTCATCCCACACCCACCCCTCCCAGGCCTTCGCCACACTATTGTCTGTGTTCAAGGGCTGTGGATATCTATATAAATAAAAGCCAAGCAACCGGAATGACCGGAATGCCTGGAAAAACCAGTCGCCATGACCTGCACTGTGGCTGGTCAACCAGCTCAATTGGGGGCAAGGCCAGCCGGCCAACCTCCCACGGCCCCTCCCTCAGGCTGGCCAGGCCCCCGATCGCCACCCCCCAATAGGGGGTGGGGCTGGCTGGCCAAACTCCTGCATCCCCTCCCCCCAGCTGTGCACGAATTCGTGCACCAGGCCTCTAGTATGCATATAAGTTCCCTAGTTAGTCTCTCCCCACCCACCACCTACCTACACCTTCCCTCTGAGATTCGTCAGTGTGCTCCATGCTTCTGCTAGTATGTCTCTGGATCTATTTTGCTCATCAGTTTATTTTGTTCATTAGATTCCATATATGATTGAGATCATGATACTTGTCTTTCTCTGACTGGCTTATTTTGCTTAGCATAATACTCTCCAGGACCCTCCATGCTGTCTCAAAGGATAAGAGATCCTTCCTTCTTATAGCTGCATAGTATTACATGCTATAAATGTACCACAGCTTTTTTTATTCACTCATATACTGATGGCCACTTGGGCTGTTTCCAGATCTTAGTTATTGTAAATTGTGCTGCTATGAACATAGGGCTGTATATATTCTTTCTGGTTGATATTTCAGGTTCCTTGTGATATATTTCTAGAAGTGGGATGACTGGGTTAAATGGCAGTTCGATATTTAATTTTTTGAGGAAACGCCATACTGTTTTCCCTAATGGCTGCACCAGTCTGCGTTCCCACCAGCAGTGCACTAGGATTCCCTTTTCTCCACATCCTCTCCAGCACTTGTCATTTGTTGATTTGTTGATGACAGCCATTCTGACAGGTGTGAGGTGATATCTCATTGCCATTTTAATTTGCATCTCTCTGATGAGCAGTGGCTCTGAGCATTTTTTCATATGTCTCTTGGCAAGTCCATCTTTAATTAGCTTCAACCTTTATTTTTACTTTTTACAAACTCAATTAAGAAAATAATATGTAGTTAGAGAATTTTGATTGTGGTTTTGCATATTTGTCTAGGCATTTTAATTAATTTCATCTTTAGCAAGCAGTCGCTGATAAATGCATAGCAGCTTTTCACTAATGCATGAAGCCCCTCCTGAGAGTGGGAAATAAAAAAGAGATTACGAAGGCACAGGTGGGCAGTGCCTAGTTAAAGCATGGGGCCTGGCCACTTACCCTGGTGCTGGGGTGGTGTCTTGAGAGTGGGAAATAAAAAAGAGATTACGAAGGCACAGGTGGGCAGTGCCTAGTTAAAGCATGGGGCCTGGCCACTTACCCTGGTGCTGGGGTGGGAGGACAGTAGCTTCCAAACTTGTCCACATGCTGGAATTGCTTGGGAAACTTCCAACAAACAAACAAACCCCGGATGCCTGCACAACCCCAGAGAGTGGGATTTCATTGGTCCAGCATGTGGCTGGGACTTGGGAGTTTTTGAAAGGTGCCAGGTGATTCTAACCCGCAGAGAGGAAAAGGCTGGTTCTGAATCCCAGAGCCGGCCTGAGCCTTGGGCCTTGGCCCCCGGCTTTCCCATCGGAAGAATTAGAGAACGGGGCAGATGCGCTTCTGCAGATTCCGCAAGTGGAGCTATGTAGAGTGGGGACAGGCACGTGGTGCTCATGGAAGAAAGATGGGCTGGGTTGCTGCAGGGGGAGAGCTGGGGTCAGCGGGTGGACAGCCCAGGAGACCCTGCGCTCCCTCCAAGATGAGCGCAAGGGATGAAGGGGACCTGCCCCGGGAGAGAGGCTGGGAGGGTCTGGGAATCATTGAGGACCCGCTCTCCTAACCTCTGTGGGTGAGCTCCTAAGCAAGCCCACCCAGCCCAGGGGCAGACAAGCTCTCCATCGGGGCCGCTCAGGGGAGCTTCAGGAAGGGAAGGGTGGCGCCTGCCAGATGTTTTCCTGGAAAGTGGAGCAGGATGTGGAGGCTGCTTACAGGCCTCCCCCCATTCACCGGCTCAACACTCCACTCTGGTGTGTACCCTCCCACCCCCCCAGCCGGGGTCCTCGAAGCTCTCCCAGACCCCAGACCAGCTGTGCTAACAGAAGATTCCAAACAATGTGTTGCGCGAAGGTACTCGCAGGCCGACAGAATGCTGGTGACGTCTGCACAGGCGACTGGAGTAGCGTTTCTGAGGAAGAGAATGGGATTAAGGGAAAGGCCTGGCCATACCACCTCCTGCCAGGCTCTAACATTCATTCGGGCGCTGAGTGAAAGGCAGCGTGCGGTAATAATAATGACACTTTCTATATCCCAGGCATTGCACTGAGCATTGTACAGGCATCATCTGTTTCAGTCTGCCCAACAGCCCTGGTGCAAGAAATATCAGTGCCTCTCGCTCCTCTGGAAAAGAAGGCACAGAGAGGTTAATACTTTGCTCAAGGCCACACAGTGAATGTCAGAGCTGGGATTTGCACCAGGGTGACCTGACTCAGGGGTCTATGTACGTCAGCAAGACACCATCCACTCAGATTGTCAAACTGCGGCAGGAAGGCCGGGGAGGGTTGGGGGGCAGGAGCGACGGGGGTAAGAGATCAACCAAAGGATTTGTATGCATGCATATAAGCATAACCAATGGACATAAGACACTGGGGGGTAGGGGAGGCCAGGGGATTGTCAAGGGCGGGGGGGGAAAAAAAAGGACACATATGTAATACCCTTTGTAATACTTTAAGCAATAAAAAAAAAAAGACACCATCCACTGTATTTGACAGCTGGTGGAGGAATGGGGGACGACTGGGTTAGCATCCTGACTCCCTGCCTCATCACTGGGACACATTCCTCAACCCCTTGACCTTTACTTCCCACTCCTGCCGACCTCCAGGCGATCTTGTGAATATCAGCAATATATTTCCTATA